CATCCACCACAACGCCCAGCTATTTTTTGGTTGCAGCCATCATTGTTGTTTGGCGGGCCCGGGCTGGATTCGAACCCACCACCTTGGGTGTACATGGCTGGCGCCTTAGCCACTTGAGCCACAGCGCCGAGCCTAACGTTTTGTTTTTGAGCTGTCACCCTGGGTAGAGTGCTATGGCATCACTGCTCTCAGCAACCTCCAACTCCTGGACTTAAGCAATTCTCTTGCCTCAGCCTCCCAAGTAGCTGGGACCCACAGGTGCCTGCTACAAGACCCAGCTATTTTTTGATTGTAGTTGTCATAGTGGTTTGGCAGGCCCAGCTCTGGTATATGTGGCTGGCCCCTTAGCGGCTTGAGCTACAGGTGCCAGGCTGCTTTTTAACATTTTGATAATTTTATAATTTAATCATGTCACTAGTTAAACGTTTCTACCCAGGACAACAGCTTGTGGCTGTCTCAAAAATATATATATATATATATCCATAGGCATCACCAGACTTGCTTATGGCACAAAAATTTGCTGAGGCTGGGAGAGGTGGCTCAAGCCTGTAACCCCAGGCAGAAGTGGGCGGAATGCCTGAGGTCACAGGTTCAAGACCAGCCTGAGCCAGATCAAGACCTCATCTCTAAAAACAGGCAGCCATTATGGTGGGCACCTATAGTCCCACCTACTTGGGAGGCTGAGGCAAGAGAATTGGTTAAGCCTAAGAGTTTGAGGTTGCTGTGAGATATGACACCATGGCAGTCTAAAAAGGGTAACAAAGTGAGACTGTAGTCCAAAAACATTAAATAGTACTTCAGAAATTAACATGGTAAATACTGCAGAAAAAGGCCAGATTCACACTGAGACAGGTGGATTGCCTGAGCTGAGGAGTTTGAGGCCTGCCTGAGCAAGAACGAGACCCCATCTCTAAAAAAAAAAATAGCTGGATGTTATGGCGGGTGCCTATAGTCCCAGCTATCTGGAAGGCTGAAGCAAGAGGATCACTTGAGCACAAGTTTGAGGTTGCTGTGAGCTATGACAACACAGCACTCTACTGGGGAAAAGTAAGAAAGACTGTCTGAAAAAAAGAAAAAAACCACATTCAAGACAGGACCCAATCAGGAAAAATCCAGTATAACCAGAACATATAAATGCATACAATCATGCTAGAAAAGTTAAAGCCAAAAGCTTTGAACAGTGGTACCTGATAAAAGATTAGTTTTTAACCTTGTGAAACCTCAAATTATTTGAGTGAGGTAGTTTGAAAATGCAACAATACAGCTGAGAAGTGAAGACCAGTTTAGAGGTTAGTTGTAGAGGGCTTAGAGATGTAGAATAGCAACTAGGTATGACTACCTGGTAACCAATTATGTGGGAAGGCCTGAAATTCAGGCAGTTTATTTCTAGACACTAAAGAGTTTGAAATTATCAAATGCAGATTCCACATATCCTTCAAAAACACAAAGTTTTGGGCAGTGCCTATAGCTCAAAGGGGTAGGGCACAGGCTCAATTATGCTAAAGGTGGCAGGTTCAAACCCAGCCCCCACCAATAACTGCAAACAAAAAAACCCACAAAGTTTTATTGAGGGTAAGGTTAGGTAAGTCAGAATGCTTGGTAGAAATGATATCCTGAATAGGACAAGGTTACTGTGGATATTAAAAAATGTTTCAGGCTCAGCACCTGTAGCTCAGCACCCGGGGTGCCAGCCGCACACACCAGAGCTGGCAGGTTTGAACCCAGCCCAGGCCTGCCAAATGACAACTACAACCAAAAAATAGCCGGGCATTCTGGTAGGTGCCTGTAGTCCCAGATACTTGGGAGGCTGAGGCAAGACAATCGCTTAAGCCCAAGAGTTTGAGGTTGCTGTGAGCTGTGACTTCAGAGCACTCTATGGTGGACATAGACTGTCTCAAAAGAAAAAAAAATGTTTAAGGTTAGAAGGATTCAAATTATAAATTCAGGGGTAGTGCCTAAGGCTCAAGGAGTAGGGCACTGGCCCCATATACTGGGGGTGATGGGTTCAAGCCCAGCCCTGGCCAAAACTGCAAAATAACCTGAAAAGAAAATTATAAATTCAATCAAGAGTTTGGTCAAGAAATGTCACCTGGGGTTACAGCGCACCAGAGGACTTAAAATGTCCCTTGTAATCTGAGAGGAAGCAATAACAGGCTTTAGATTTGGAGAACTGGCTTGGCGCCTGTGGCTCAAGCGGCTAAGGTGCCAGCCACATACACCTAAAGTGGTGGGTTCGAATCCCCAGCCCAGGCCCGCCAAACAACGATGGCTGCAACCAAAAAAAAAAAAAAAAATGGCCGGGCATTGTGGCAGGCGCCTGTAGTCCCAGCTACTTGGGAGGCTGAGGCAGGAGACTCGCTTGAGCCCAGGAGTTGGAGGTTGCTGTGGGCTGTGATGCCATAGCACTCTACCCAGGGGGATAGCTTGAGGCTCTGTCTCAAAAAAAAAAAAAAAAAGATTTGGAGAACTTTACTACCCTGGAGATGAGAAGCCAACAAAGGTGGAGATGCCAAATATAGTTCACACCCGCAGCCCTCATCTTTCAAGGTCTGGTATGAGCACTTGTCTTCTCAACTACATGTAGTTTTTATTTGTATTCTTTTTGAGACAGTCTCACTCTGTCACCCTTGGTACAGTGCCATGGCATCACAGCTCATCATAGCAACCTCCAGCTCTTGGACTTAGGCAATTCTCTTGCCTCAACCTCCCAAGTAGCTGGGACTACAAGCACCCGGAACAAGGCCTAGCTATTTTTTGGTTGCAGTTTGGCTGGGGCCAGGTTTGAAACCACCACCCTTGATGGGACCGGCATCCTACTCACTGAGCCACAGGCACCAACTACATATATTTTTAAATGCAGCATCTGCCCTGGATGTGTTAGTAAGTAAAACTATTATCTTGTTTTGTAATGAACAATACACAGATCAATGTGAAGATTCAACCATCTTCAAGCGATTCATTGGTTCTTACCAGATCCTCCTCTTTACCCTCTTTGCAGTGTTGGCATCAACAGCTTTCATCTTTCTAGGTAAGGAGTCGTTATATTCAGCACCATGGACTTGGAAACTGCCTTCATTTCATTTCCCAAACTGAATGCATTCAGCACCATGGCACTTGGAAACTGCCTTCATTTCATTTCCCAAACTGAATGAGGATGAAAATTAGCTGTTTATCACATATAATTTATCACAAGTGGTTGAAAGTGTGTTAGTCTCCCTAGCCCTAGTCACATACTCCTTTTCAACTTACTACCACAAAGGAATAAACTGTGAAACAGACTCAGAAGCAGTAAACACTATGCAATCTTGACAGCTACTGTTGCTGAAATTAATAGCTAGAGACAAGTAATGTATCACTGTTGTCTATATCTGTATTCCCATCTTTGAACCAGAAGTTGAATGAAAATGCCCCCATAATGGATCAAGTAAAAATTTCCTTTAATGTATTACTATTAATCTAAAGTATTGTTTATTTATTATGGCTTCCAGAATATTAACTAGACACCTTTTTTTTCCACATCTCTCGTCTTTTTTTCTAGCATACAATGCCTTCCTCAACAAGATACAGACTATTCCAATTGTGTATGTACCAACTCCAGGACCCCAGCCAGGTAAACCACCACCAACCTCATCTTTGAAAAGATACATATACAATTTAATTCATTCAAGCCTTTTTCTTTCCCCCTTCTAGGTTCTTACACTTCCACATATTCTCCCCCTCCTTTCATGAATCCACAAGCCCCACTGGCCCAGAGTCGACTACAACACTGGTTATGGAGTATAAGACACTGAATCTTGCTTAGACAAGTCCCCTTTAACTGCAGAGAAATGGTGATTTATAGCTCTGAAAAAGGAACCTAGCAGCAATCTATGCTAAGCCTCTACAAACAAGACTTCTGAGAACTATAAATAAAGGACCCTAAGCAGTTTTATTTTTTAATTAAAGTAATGTGCTGGATTGTGTTGTAAAGATTCACTGTTAACAAAACATGAAGAGAAAAATCTCATTTATGCAGTATCCCAATTTAAAAATCAAACTCTTAAGATTTACCCAAAAAGCCTAGTGGTTAAAACTGTTCCAAATGGATTTTTTAAGTATTTGGTCACTTACTTGCCCCAAATGACTCTAATATTCCACTCTTCTGGTTGCCCCTGAATACCAAAGGCAGGTACTTCCTAGCAGTTAAACAAGACAACAAACAAGATATATCCAAAATGCATTTATTGGGATGGGTTTCCCATTCATTCAAGCAGGGTACTTTCAGTGCTGCTTCCTTCTGAAGGAACATCCTGCAAGAAAAAATTTCAGGGGTTAACCTTAGTACCTCGCCCACCCCTACAAAACAAGCAGATGCCTGGTGATCCATCCACATAAATCTACTTCATTACTTTTCTCAACTCCCTTAGCTACCTAATCATTTACATCACTTTTGGGGCTTCATATTACCTTAAGCCAATATAAAACCCTTTTGTCACCTATCCATCCCAACTTTACATGTTTACAAATACTCGATTTCTTATAAAAACTGCTCTTCCAAAAAACAAACTACCAAATCCAACAGTCTCAAAATTAACACTATACACGACCCCTCTCATCAATGCCTTTAACTTTTAACGAACAGTGAAAGATTCAAACCCAAAATTACATTAGTGGCTCGGCGCCTGTGGCTCAAGCGGCTAAGGCGCCAGCCACATACACCTAAGGTGGCGGGTTCGAATCCCCAGCCCGGGCCCGCCAAACAACAATGATGGCTGCAACCAAAAAATGGCCAGGCGTTGTGGCGGGCGCCTGTAGTCCCAGCTACTTGGGAGGCTGAGGCAGGAGACTCACTTGAGCCCAGGAGTTGGAGGTTGCTGTGAGCGTGATGCCATGGCACTCTACCCAGGGGGATAGCTTGAGGCTCCGTCAAAAAAAAAAAAAACAAAAACAAAAACAAAATTACATTAGTTAAGCCATTTACCTTCTGTAAGCCTTGCTTTTCCTCCTGTAGGCTGGCAGAGGACAGTAGAGCAACCAACACACAGAACTACTGTTTGTGCATGGCTAAACACCGTGGTGATTTTGTAGCATCCTGAGGGGGACCACGAAACATCAAAGAGTTAGGTTTACCCCCTTTTTATTCCCATAGCTTTCCTTAACATTTTAAGCCCAACTCATCTCATTCATTAGTTTTCCAAACATTTTAAGCCCAACTCATTTCATTCATTAGTTTTCTACCACAAAAGAAAAAAAGCTTACATATAGAATTTTGATTAGAGATGACTCTGAATTGAATCATGTCCCATAAAATTCAGGACCTTGCCAATATTGCAAGAAAATCAACGATAGTCTTACAGGATAATTAAGTAAAGCTGCTGGGCTGCATCCCGAGTACAACATAGCTCACACTACGACTTCCTCCGCCTGGTGAAGCCCAGCGCAACGCCAACAACCCTCCCCCTTACCTGGGCATTTCACGTCCATGAAGTAGGAGTTGGGGCTCTGCACCAGGCGCTTCTTCTTGTGTTTCCTCTTCTCCTCTTCTGGAGAGGGATGGAGGAGATCCTTTGCGAGCTAAGAGGAGCAGAAATGCATAGATTTAGAAACCAATGGCGAAAACGAGATGACGGAAAACAGCCCCCGCTATCACACACCGGGGAAAGCTCGCCCCGCGCGGCCCCTGGTGTCTGCGCAGCCGGGCCGCCATCTTATCTCCGCTCCGCTCCCGTCTATGCGGGCGGCCCGGGGCCGCTGCGGTCCCTGAAGTTACTGTCCTAAGTGCTGAGGGTAAACGAGGACCCTCTGCGATCCGAAATCAGCGTGAGGGGAGCGTGCGGACAGACGAGCGAGATCTCCGCCGCAACCTGCACCAAGAGACTCACAGGCATATTGGCGTGTGGAGGCCGTCCCCGCCGGAAAGGGGCGGGCCTGGAAGGCCCGCTGCTTATATGCGGCGCCCGCAGGAAGTGACGCGCGCGCTCGCGCAGCATGTCGGGAGGTCCTGCGCTCCGGCCGCCGCAGGGTGGTGAAGGGAGGTCTCCAAACGCTAGTTATCCCCTGGCCGTGTTCCCTTGTGAGGAGGTTAGCTGCCACCTTGACATCTGTGTGTCATTACTATTGACAGGGGTAAAGGGGGATTTTGTAAGTTTTGTGGCACGCTTTGACAGTTAAAGCATGATAAATAGGAATGGTTGAGGAAAACGAATCATATCTGAGACTTAACTTTTTTTTTGTAGAGACAGTCTCACTTTATCACCGTCGGGCGAATCTCTTGCCTCAGCCTCCGAGTAGCTGGACTACAGGCGCCCGCCACAACACCCGCCTATCCGCCTATTTTTTTTAATTGCAGTTTGGCCGGGGCCGGGTTTGAACCGGCCACCCTTAGGTATATGGGGCCGGCGTCCTACCTACTGAGCCACAGGAGCTGCCCAACTTCACTGGCTTTTTTCTTTCTTTCTTTTTTTTTTTTTTTTTTTGGCCGGGGTCTGGGTTTGAACCTACCACCTCCGGCATATGAGGCCAGAGCCCTGCTCCTTTGAGATAGGCGCTGCCCTGGACTTAACTGTTTTTCAATTACCCATAACTATGTTTCTATTGGTTTAGTTTAACCCTATGTAGCAATAAAGTATGTAAATATGAAGAAAAAGGCTCGGCGCCTGTAGCTTAGCGGCTAAGGCGCTGGCCACATACACCCCGGAGCTAGCGGGTTGGAATCCAGCCCAGGCCCGCAAACAATAATGACAACTACAACCAAAAAATAGCTGGGTGTTGTGCCGGGTTCCTGTAGTCCCAGCTATTTGAGAGACTGAGGAAAGAGAATCGCTTAAGCCCAAGAGTTAGAGGTTGCTGTGAGCTGTGATGTAAAGGCACTCTACCAAGGGTGACAACTTGAAGCTCTGTCTCAAAAAAAAAAAAAAAAAATGAAGAAAAAGCACGCTCCTCATATTTTCCCCACCATCAACCTACCCTTCTGGTTTGCCATTTTAAGTTTTGTTTTGTTTTGTTTTGTTTGAGACAGTCGCACTATATCGCCCTGGGTAGAATGCGGTGGTGTCACAGCTCACAGCAACTGAGGCTGGAGTGCTGTGCTGTCATAGTTCACAGCAACCTCAAATTCCTGGGCTCAAGCAATCCTCCGGCCTCAGCCTCTCCAGTAGCTGGGACTACAGGTGGCCTCCACTTTTTCTATTTTTAGTAGAGAGGAGTCTCACTCTCCCTCAAGTTGGTCTGTAACTCCTCATCTTCAACAATCCTCCCTCCTTGGTCTCCCAGAGTGCAAGCATTACAGGTGTTAGCCCCTGAGTCCTATAGGGTCTACCATTGGTACAATTTATTTTGTCTCGGCTGGGCAAACATAGCTCAGTGGTTATGGTGCAAGCCACCTGCTCCGGCGCCTGGTGGGTTCAAATCTGCTAAATAAACAAACAAAAAAATAGCCTGGTGTTGTAGTTGGAGCCTGTAGTCCTGGCTACTGGGGAGGCTGAGGCAAGAGAATCCTTGAGCCCAAGAGTTTGAGGTTGCTGTGAGCTATTATGCCACCACACTCTACCAGGGGGCAAGGAAGTGACACTCTGTCTCAATTAAAAAAATTTTTGTGTGTGTCCAGCTCAATGCCTGTGGCTCAAGTGGCTAAGGCGCCAGCCACATACACCTAAGGTGGCGGGTTCGAATCC